GGAAATAAGATATCGAAAATATGGTAAAAAAAAATACACTTGGAACAAGAAATAATTTTTATATCATAATTCAAAACAAAAAAATTATGAATGGGCGAGTGGCTAGCGCTCTGGCGCTCGGCAATACAGGTTTCGTGTTCGAGTCCCGGTAGTGCCATGAATGTTTGTAGTGGTGCGGAATCCACTTTAAACCGTAGGTCGCGGTCCCGTAATCACATCAAATTAACCGTAGAGCGTTGCGGAGGCACAGTTAATCCGCGTCGGTAGCTTATCTTCAAGCTACACGCACCTCCTGGGTAGTGCTGCACTGTGTCTGTAAGTAAAGTCTGTGCAGCACTTGCCTTAAAGCATCAAAGACAACTATCTCAGTGTTTGCCTGCTGCATTAGTAAAAAAAAAATTATGCAGAGATATAAAAAAAGTAAAATATTTCTAAAAATTACTTTGGATGAAAACTATTTTTATAAGGTATACCTTTTTCCCTAACGAAAAACATTGCTACAGACCAGAATTGTACGGAGTCATTGAGTGTATTAAGTAGAGATTGATGATTCCTGTAGAAAAGTGATTACCAAATATTAAACTGTTTCACTGCTTCTCTAAAACGAATCAGACTGACCATTGGACAGCAAACATGCTTATAATCGATTGGACTGAGAATCATGCTGACTAATCGATTGTAAGAAAAAAGAAGTCGGTCACAAATAGGCAATCATGTATTTTTCATTAAAAAGATTTCATCTCCAATTGCTGTAGAGTAAATTATCAGAAAACAACTCAGAATTTTTTTCTCCGTATAGCTGACATGTCATGTTTTTTTATCATGTTTGTTGTATAAGATGAGGTAGCCATTACTCATCTTCTCCAAATCAGACACTTTCGCGTCCAAATGCAGTATTGCTGGGTTTCCTGCAAATTATCTCCTATTGTTCGACTATACATTAGAGTCATTCTACTGTATAAATTGTTTTCTACTATTATGTTATCGTCATCTGACGTATTCCTGTAACATAAAGAGAAAAATAGCAAAATATATCTTATTATATATATCTGTATCTATCAATTATATATCTGTATGTTTGTAGACCTGTAGCAAACGCTAGGAAACTACAAGCTTACAAATATAAGATGTTTTTAACAATTTCAGTTGACACTCTAATCATAAGTATGTATTGCTGCAGAAGAGAAACGTTTACAACTGTGTCCAAAAAGTAAGACCAATTTTCAATTTAAAATTCCAGGAGCTTACGGAATTTCAATTTTTTTCCCCTTTTTAGGTTGCTGGCACTGTTCTTGGCATCTGTGGGAAATTTGACGTTAAAATATCCCTTCGTTATATTCATGAGTAACGCTTGGATTTGTGAGACGATAAAACTGATTCCGTCGATTTTTGAAATGTCTGAATTAATTGAGCAAAGTACTTGCATTAAATTTTATTACCTGAAATGTATAGAATATTGCAGACGGCATTCGGTGAACATTCCTATATTGGAAAGAAATGTTTAGAAGGGATATAAACAGTTCAAAGAAGGTAGAGAACGCGTTGAAGACGAAGAGCCCTCTGGTCGACCATCAACCTTAACCGACGAAGCTCATGTCCAACAGATTAAAGATTTGGTGCTTACAAACCGTCAATTTACAATTAGACACCTTGATGATGATGTTGGATAAGTGCATTGTGTCCGAAAGGGATTACTTTGAAGGCGATGAAATAATTTTGGAAGAATAAATAAAGAGTTTTTGAAAAAAAAAATAATTGGCCTTACTTTTTGGGCACTGTAGTATAATAATTTTCTCCTGGCTGTTAATGTAAAACAATGATTATTATTTCGTGATGTTTATGCCGAGTTCCTAGTGTTCAAAGTACTTTTAAATATCCAAAAACTGATTCCATCGTCGGAAAGCACTGTAATATACAGTATTTTCCTCCGCAATGCATTATAAAGTCATTTATATTGCAATTTCCCCAGAGCGTTAAAGTTAACCAATTATTCTCAATTCGTGATGCTTATGTCACCATTCTTATCTTCAATGCATTTTTCCTGTAACCAACAAATTGATTTAATAGTAAGAAAAAATTCCAGTGCTATATATTATGAAAACGTTTATAACGGGGTTTCTCTCAACCTTCTAATGTTAAATAATGATACTCATTCCGTGATATGTATGCCAACCATCTAGTCTTTAACTTACTTTGATAGTATCCAAAAATTGATTCCATCATCAGGAATTACTATACCATACAGTTGCTTTGTCTGCATGGATGTTTGACGAATGACAATTATTATCCAAACTAACTATTCGATTAAATTAAGCTATTCAATATTTCCTTTCTTCCATGAATAGAATTTTCCTTTCTCCCAGCGTGTACCACATCAACTGATCAAATATCAGTCCTCAACATCTTCTCTCATCCATAGTCCTAAACTTTAATATTTCTGTATAACTGGCCATTAAAATTGCTACACCAAGAAGGCGACATGCTGCAGACGTGAAGTTTAAACGACAGGAAGAAGTTGTTGTGTGATGTGCAAATTATTAGCTTTTCAACGAATTCAGACAAAGCAAACGCGGCACCTACAATGTGTTTAAATGAGGAAATTGTTCAGCCGGTTTCTCCTACACAAATTACATTTGAACGTTGTTGCCTAGTGAAATGTTGTGATGCCTGGTATAAGAAGCACAAATGCGTATCATCACTTTTCTGACTTCGATAAAGGGGATTGTAGCGTACAGAGATTGTGGTTTATCGTATCGCAGTATTGTTGCTAGCGTCGATCGAGATCCAATGTCTGATAGCAGAATATGGAATCGATGGGTTCAGGACGGTAATACGAAACGCTGTGCTGGATTTCAACGGCCCCCTATCACAAGTAGCCGAGAAGGAAGACAGACGTGTTACCCGCATAGCCTTAATGGATCGTACAGCCACGTCACGTGCCCTGAGTCAAAAATTGGGGTCATTTGCAAGACAACAAGTGTCTGCACATACAGTTCGACGTTGTTTGCAGCAGCATTTACTCTCAGCTCGGAGACCAGACAGTTTAGTAAAGAGGTGTAATTAATTTTAAAGATAATTTGTTGTAATATGTAATATTTTTCAACGGTTCTCATGAAGAAACGATAAATGCAAATTACACCTTTTGAATACGAACCATTTTACTCTTTTATCCTGTGTATTGGAAGTTAATGCATAAGAGTTTAGCAATAAAACAGAACGTTCGTTACTAATTGTATATTAATGATATTTTAATTTATAAACATTTTCATAAATTATTTAAAAATTGTTATCTGTTACTGAATATCCTTAAATTTTTTTTTGTCCTGTCATTTTATTTTATTACGAACTTCATGTTTCTGTTAAATTAATATAGTATTAAATCCATAAGAAAATGTCTTCTAATGGAGAATCGTTTAACAAAATGTCTTCCATAGAACATATTTTCAGTTATAATTTTTTTTACGTAAGAATAATAAAAAACACAAAAATAATATATTTTTTTTAAAAACATCACTTTATTGAGTGGCCACATGTGTCATTCAAATATATTTCTTTCAAAAACAGGAATGGAGAACTTCATAAAAAATTACATACATAATATTTAAGGGAATTTGAACATGTATTATTTCTAAAAAAAAGAATGGTGATCAATCATAGAAGAAAACCGAGAAACAAAATTTTTACAATGATCACAATATAGAACGATACTTACAATATACGTTTACAAAAATTTAAGAAGGTAGTGGAAGACCTTAGAAACTTCTAGAGAAGAAAAGTCTCAAAGTTACAAATTACAAAAAGGGAACCAATTGACCATTATATCCTCTGACAGCACCACCAGCTAATTCCTGTTGATAATTGGCGACACCAAAACGTACATTGCCACCCAAAGGACCATAACCATATCCTACAGCTGGACCCACTGGTACAAAAGCAGGTACACCTGCAACATATGGAGTGTTGGAGATAACTTGGACTGCAGCGGGGTTCTGGTTGGCGGTTCCTGGTTCGTTGGTCTTGACCTGAGCTCTGAATCCAGCATGGTCAGCGACATAGTTGACTTGTCTGGCGATACCCCTGTCGTCAGTGAAACCGTAGTTTCCTACAACTGATCCGGCACCGTTTCCAGCTTCTTGTCTGTGTTGTTCACCATGGTGGTCCTTGATGGAGTATCCGAACTTATAAGGTTGAGGGGCATGTTGAGGAACGGGAACGATCTAAAATAAATAAGCAATATTAAATTTGCGAAAAGGAAACCCTATTATTAAAGGAAGTTTTAATCATCACTTAATGGAAGAAAACAAACAAAAATATTTAATTTAATTGCTTTTAATTTCTGAGATATTCAATTATATTAATGATATTACTTAAAGCAAAGCCATTTACTAGGCAGTTATTAAGTTCGTATCTCAGAAATAGGCTAATGTTTTATATATAAGGTAAATAATGAAAATGTAATTAAACCAATGGAAAGATTATTGTTTTTTTTTTTTTTTCGAAATACAATTTGAGTTTCAGGACAATTATTTAATTGAAATAAAAAACAAACATAAGTAAAATTTTAATAAATAAACTTTTATCCTGCATTTTATTTTATAGAAATTCACGCATAAATTTAGTCATTCTTTTTTGAGGTGATATTGCGGTACATTGCTTATAATATTACTAAGATGTTTTCACTTTAACTACTTATGAAAAAAATATCTAGATGTTGTTGTTGTTTCTTATCCCACTTGGCTGATCAAGTCCACGAGCCCATACGTACTCATGATTGAAGGGGAAGGAAGCAGCTTCTGTTGTGAGGAGCACCCGTAGGTAGAAGTCTGACTTTTTGACTCCGTGACGCTCTTACAGTCATAGGAGACTGGGACGTACGGCAAAGTGGATTCGAACCACTACACAAACATCCATGGCACCGCCGGGTTCGAACCCGAAATCTGTGTCCCCGAGCGCTGGAGCGCTAGACACTCGGCCATTCAGGTCCCAAATTTGTGAATGCCAACGGCACGAAGTGTTCCCAGGTGGTCACCCACCCAAGTACTGACCGTGCCCAATGATGCTTGACTTCGGTGATCCAACGAGAAACGGTATATTCAGCATGGTATAGCCGTTGGCTATCTAGATGTAAGCATTAATAAGCAAAAAATAGCTCTTAATGCGTATCTTAGTATCAAATGACATCGATTGTAATGTCTAAAAACAATATTAATTTGCTGTAGAACGGAACTAAGTTTTATTATTTAAAGGCAAACATGGGTTGTACTGTGTTTGTCTTGAAATTATGCATGATATAGGACAAAATACTTGTTTTAGTATTCGAAAAAGAGAAATTAATTTTTTAAACAACTTGAAAATGTTTAAATTGGACTTACGGAAAAGAACTTTGTGTGCTATATATTTGGCATAAAGTTTAAATACAAATAAGTTTAAATTAAACTACGAAACGTAACGTGGGAAAACGGAATAATTTAAGTAAATAAAACTTCTATAAGTTTAAAATTTAAATTATTTTAAGTCAATATTTTCAATTCTTGCCTAATGTCTGACTGCAGATTGGTCTCTTCTGAAAAATTCTTTTAAATATATACTTCCCAACACATATTTAAATAGAATATTATTTAAATACTAATGGAATACAATATGACAGCTAAAACACCTAAATAAAATTATAAATAACTATCTAATGTCAAATTTCAATGAAATGATTCCCACTTTGTATAGAATTTATTCACCAGAAAACTTATGCACAGATTTCAATTGAAAAATTCTGTAATTTATTGAGAACAATTTTTGGATTTTAATATTATTTCTATGATCAGTTAATTTAACAGTACGGAATTATTTTAAAGGTAATTTTAAATACTCTTCATTTGTTACCCTTAACCAGCTTTTAGAGCATTTTAAGTTATAAAAAAAAAATTTGTCAATTTTTATAATTTAAAAATAGACGTACATATTTTTATCAGCATCTGTGGGATTATATAAATTATTAAAATACTATTAATTTAAATTAAATTTTCTTAATTTATTAGCATATTATCATAGGTTTTTTTTTTCCTTCAACATATTAAATTCTGTTTTCCCACACTAAAAATTTTTTTACACTTTATACACTTTATTTTGAAAAATTTATACCTAATGATGTATTTTATTTATGTTACCTTTAAGTAAAAAAAAAATTATTCATAAATACTACCAAATCTAACGCATAATTTTTTACAGCTTTATTACTTACATGTGGAATAACTGAACCATGAGCCAAAGTAATGGTTGATAACACAACGAGGAACAACATCTGGAAATAAGGAATTGGGAATTAGTAGGATTTTAAATTTAAAAACAGAAAGTTATTTTAACCTTAAATTGTGAAGTGAATGTATTTTAATAAAATATACCGGTAATTAAAATTTTTCTATGATTTTACTTTTCTTAAAATGAATAGATATAAAACGTGTCATTTTTATAACGAATAAATAAGGATTAATTATATCTACATAATTCATTGCATCCCACATAGTTCATTTTTTTATAAATTAATATTCTTTTTATCAAAAGTTATTATTATATTATGTTATTTAAATAGTACTCTAATTTGACAAGAACACATTCTTTGAATTATATTAAAATAAATTAATTTCATAATTACAGTAACGTTTATGATTTATTGTTTAAATATTGCTGAATTTTTAATTAAGTCGTGATGTTTAACAAAGATAAGATATTCGCAAATGTATAAACATTAAAAAAAAGGACATACTACTGTGTCCCAAAAGTAAGTACAATTTTCAATTTAATCCCGGGGCTTATGGAATTTAACTTTTTTTTTCTTTTTTAGGTTGCTGGCCTGTCTTTGACATCTGTGTAAAATTTTACGTCAAAATATTTATTAGTGTTTGAGTTACGCTTGGCTATGTGAGACGCTAAAATGGATTCCGGCGAATTTTGAAATGTCGGAATTAATTGAGCACAAAATATGCATTAAATTTTGTTTGCCGCAACGTATAGAATGTTGCTGAAGGCATTCGGTGAGCATTCCTACATCGGAAAGAAATGTTTAGAAGTCATATAAACAGTTCAAAGAAGGGAGAGAGCGCGTTGAAGATGAAGAGCACTCTGGTCGACCATCAACCTCAACCGACGAAGCTCATTTAAAAAAAATTAAAGGTTATATATACTTGCTTGCAAACCGTAGTTTTAAAATTAGAGACCTTTCTGATGATGTTGGAATTTCAAAATTCCATGTTTAAACATGTTTTGGGCCTCAAACGCGACAAATCTCGTTTGGTACCGAAAACAATAAATGCGTCAGCTCACACTGCATTGATTCTTCGTGATGTTTTCGCCAAAAATGAAACCTATATCGTTAAACAACCACCATATTCCGACCGTGCGACTTCCGGCTATTCCCTAGACTCAAAAGACCACTCGGGGGACGCCGTTTTGAGTCGATTGAAGAAATTCAACTTGAATCGACGAGCGCTTTGAAGGCCATCCCTGCATTTTAGCATGAGTTGAGGATTAGAAAAAAGGTGGCATAAGTGCATTGTGTCCGGAGGGGATAACTTTCAAAGTGATGAAATAAATTTGGAAGAATAAATAAAGAGTTTTTGGAAAAAAAAATAATTGGTCTTCCTTTTTGGGCACAACAGTATGTGTTTTCTTAAGCAATAATTGCTGAAATTTTACAAATGAGCAATTTTAAAATTGCAAATGTAAATTAAAAAAAAAAAATGTACATAAATATAATCATTGTAAAATATTTTGAGAGTTTAAATATTTTTTTTCTGCGATGTTAATGAGAGAAATATGATTTGTTAAAAGCTAACTTACCTTAGTATAGGTTTAGTACTCCTTTTGTTGAAGGAAAAAGCTCGAATGAAACTAATGATATTTGCCGTCTTTTTATATTGATATTTGGTGTCTTTTTTTTCTGTTAAAAATGTTAGCTTAACATCGATTATTGTTATGATGTAACTTGATATACTCGTTACAACTTCTGATTTTAATCTTTACATTCTCATTTGAATTTGACATTTATTATAGAAGTTAAAGATTAAAATTCTGATTAATTTTAAAATTCTGATTAGCCTGAAGTTAATCACATTTAGTCAACCGGAAACTCTTTGATTGTTTTTTCTGAACAGAAAGCAAACGCTTTGTTATAGGATGTTAATGTTCATTCAGAATTAATTATAAAACTGTCATAAAAATGATAAAAGTGAAATATCAACTACACTGAAGTGACAAAAGTCATGGGATACCTCTTAATATCGTGTCGGCCCTCCTTTCGCCCGGCGAAGTGCAGCAACTCGACGTGGCATGGACTCAACAAGTCGTTGGAAGTCTTCTGCAGGAATATTGAGCCATGCTGTCTCGATAGACGTCCATAATTGTGAAAGCGTTGATGGTGCCGGATTTTGGGCACGAACAGACCTCTCGATGATGTCCCATAAATGCTCGATGGGATTCATGTAGGGCGATCAAGGTGGCCAGATCATTCGTTGGAATTGTCCAGAATGTTCTTCAAACCAATCGCGAACAGTTGTGGCCCGGTGACATGGCGCATTGTCATCCATAAAAATCCCATCGTCGTTTGGGTACATGAAGTTCATGAATGGCTGCAAGTGATCTCCAAGTAGCTGAACATAAGCATTTCCAGTCAATGTTCGGTCCAGTCGCACCAGAGGACCAAGTCTATGCCATAAAAAAACAGCCCACACCATTACGGAGCCACCACCAGCTTGAACAGTGCCTTGCTGACAGTTTGGGTTCATGGCTTCGTGGGGTCTGCGCCACACTCGAACCCTAGCAACAGCTCTTACCAACTGAAATCGTGACTCATCGGACCAGGCCACGGTTTTCCGTTCATCTAGGGACCAACCGATATGCTCACGTGCCCACGAGAGTCGCTACAAGCGATGTCGTTCTGTCAGTAAAGGCACTCGAGTCGGTCTTCTGCTGGAATAGCCCAAGAAAGACAAATTTCTCCGCACAGTTCTAACAGACAAGTCCCTTGTACGTCCCACATTGATTTCTGCGGTTATTTGACGCAGTGTTGTGTCTGTTAGAATTTACGACTCTTTGCAGACGTCGCCGGACTCGGTCGTTAAGTGCAGGTGGTCGACCACTGCGCTGTCATGGTGGGATGTTATGCCTGAAATTTCATACTCGGCACACTCTTGACACAGTGGATCTGGGAATGTTGAATTCCCTAACGATTTCGAAATGGCATGACCCATGCGTCTGGCTCCAACTAACATTCCGCGTTCAAAGTCTGTTAATTCCGTCGTGCGATCATCATCACGTCAAAACCTCTTCACATGAATAGCTTGAACAGAAATGAAAGCTCTTCGAAAAGCACTGCGCATTTATACCTGTTCTACGCGATGCTACTGCCATCTGAAAATTTGCATATTGCTATCCCATGATTTTTTGTCACTTCAGTGTATTTCTTTATTTAAAATCGATGCTATAATAAGATACCTTTGCAAATCCTTTGGTAATCACTATGTTTTATTTGGTAATCTAAATAATTTATTGAATTGATTACAAAAATTTTTGATATTTAAACTCCAAATATGTTTTGAAAACCATAATTTTTTAACATATGTATATTGTAAATACCTAATCAATAGCTAAGTGGATTAAAATCTTTGGAGATGAAAAAAAAAGTGGTTTCGATTTTCCAACTCACATGCTTTACAGGAAAAAAAAATGATAATCTTATTAAAAAGTCGAATTTTAAAAATTTTATTCACAGTTGTTTCATATCTTGAAATTTAAGATTGTCTTTTTTTTTTAAATGTTAATTTGAATTTAGTTTTAAATTTGTCTGTCCTTTTAATCGGCAAATCAATTAAATTTAAATAATAAATATAAATAATAATAATAATAACTTTTAAAATAAAATAAATAATGATATTTTTTTAAATAATTATAATACATTGAATGTTATTTATTTTATTGTTCAGGATTTTTGTAGTATATAATTTATAATTTTGTATTTTAATCATATATGCATTTTTTTTTCTGTATGCCTTTTAAACATTTTTAGACAACTTGTGTTTAAAGGCCCTCATCAATTCACTGACCTTCTGAAAATATTTCCCTCA